CATGTGCTCACTGCAAGATGAAAATGAAATGAAAATGTTTATTTCCTTGCAAAGCTTACAATGGGTGGCTTACATATTATAAAATAGTAATTACAAAGAAGGCCACTAGCATGCCTAGGCATTTCAGGCATACTAATCCTAATTCTTACTCTATATTGACACAGGTTATGGAGCAGTACACTTTAATATAAATTATTGCATACTGATATAAAAGTTAGGTAACTGAAGTGATTAACATTAATTAGATTGATAATAGTGAGGTAGTACAAAACATATAACAATATTACAATTAATAAATTTAGTAATGGGAATGGTTTTATCTCAGCATGATACACTGTTTCTATAAAAGCTCCAATGTTGGGAGAGTATTTTAAGCAAACTTAGGACTAACTTAAGATTTATTAGGCAATAGCTATATTAGGAATTTTATGTTTGCAGCCATATGGGTGAGTGTAAGTGTAAATTAGGGGGAATTACAAATAATGAGAGTAAGTCTATTTTATTTTGGATGTGTTCATGATACAAAAAAGAGAATAGGTGGTTTTCACATAGCCGATGATGGGGTGTTAGGGAGATAAGATTGTTTTTAATGGTAGTTTTGAAAATGGTGGTTGAGTCTGCAGTTCTAGAGTTTTCAGGCAGGGAGTTGCAGATTTTAGGCTCTTTTATGTACATTGAGTTTTTGTTTTTGTAGAGATTTAGCTGGACACGAGGAATGTCATAGAGATTTTTGTGTCTGGTATTGTGTCCATGGGTATTTTGGAACTATCAAGAATTGTTTTAGTTTCAGGGTTAATAATAGAATTTATGGTTCTGTAAATGTAGGTTGCACAATAGTAGGTGTGAAAGTTTTGTACAGTGGGGGGGGGGGGGTTGTCTAGCATTGGATTGCATGATAATTCTTACTGCAGTTTTTTGTTGGGTTATTATTGGCTTTAGGTGGGTTGCTGCTATTGATCCCCAGGCACAAATAGCATAAGTGAGGTAAGGATAGATGAGTGAATAGTACGTATAGTGTGAGTATGGCTGATTGTGGTACATAGTAACGTATCTTTGAGAGGATCCCAACTGTTTTGGATCCTTTTTTTTGTCATGTGTTGGATATGGGTGTTGAATTTCCAGTTGCTGTCAAGGTGCAGACCCAGGAATTTGCCCTCATTATGTTTAGCAATAAGAGTGTTGTCAGTCATAATGTTCAGCTGGGCATTACCTGTTCTGCTCCCAAACATAACGTAAAAGGGTTTTGTCAATATTAATTGTAAGTTTATTGGCATTCATCCAGGTCGATATTTTTACTAGCTCTTCGTTAACAGCAGTGTTGAGTGAGGCAAGATTAGGGTGGGAGAATAGGTTTAAGGTGTTGTGATACATTAGGAAGATCGTTGATGTATAAGAGGAAGAGCAGGGCACCAAGGACACTTCCCTGTGATACTTCAGTATCCAGTGGTCTTGTTGATGAGGTTGTGTCCTTAATAGAGATGTATTGATGTCTGTTAGTAAGGTAGGATTTGAAATATATAAGTGCATGGCCTCTTATACCATAATGATCAAGATCAAGTTTGTGGAGTAGGATGCTGTGTCTACTGTATCAAAAGCTTTCCTTAGGTCGATAAAGAGGCCTAATGGATATTCATTTTTTTCAAGTGCTGTGTAAAGCAGGTTTGTGCCTTTGCTTTTCCTGAAGCCAAATTGGCAGGGGTGGAGGATGCTTTGCACTGTTATAAAGGAGTATCATCTCTTGTGCACGAGTTTCTTGAAGATTTTGGATTGCAACGGTATGTTTGATATTGGCCTGTACATAGCTGTTTACATCTGTGGGGTCACCACCTTTGTGTATTGGTGTAACCCTTGCTATCTTGAGTAGTGTCAGGAAAGTGCTGGTTTCTAGTGATTTGTTAAAGAGTAATGAAATAGCTGGCGAAAGAACATGAACCGCTCGTTTATACAATAATGGCGGGACTTGAGCCAGATTTCCTGATTTATTTTTAAGCGACTTAATAATTGTGGTGACTTCTGTGGGCTCGGTTGGTGCAAGATAGAAGGAGGTTGGGAAATTCCCATCTAAGTAATCACTTGCTCGGGCATTGGTACCTGGGATTTTACTGGCGAGATTTGATCCTGTGGTTGAGAAAGTCATTTATCCTGTTAACTGTATCAGTAGGCTGTAGTTGTGTTTCATTCGGTTTAGTTAGGACAATATCCCTAGCTTTTTCAGTTTGTGGGTGCCCAGAATCTGAGAAGTGTGTCTTCCAGGTCTTTCTTATATCTCCTCTAGTTTTGGTGAATCTATTGGAGTAGTACAATTGCTTAGCCATTCTTATTAGTTTGGTGAGGACTGATGCATAGTGTTTAATAATATCTTTGTTCATTAAGCCTGTCTATATTGCTTTTCATATTGATGTTTCTTATCAGTGGATCTTAGTATACTGTTAGTTAGCTATAGGCAAGGAAAGGAAAGAACCCAGCTTGCATGCCACATTTTTCCCTATATGTACTAAACGATATAAACTTTTTAATATGGCATGTTCACTGAAAATGTGCCACAATTTTGCAACTATGTTATAGTGAAAACGTGTTAACTGACGGTCTGATATCTAGTAACCTCTTCTCCTGTACACATTACTAAAGTTGAAATGAGAGACTTTAATTTTTCTTTTGGGCCACCCTGCTTTGGTGGGATATGGCCAGTTTGTTGAAAGAATATATATACAGTAGTCCCCCCAAATTCGTGGGGGTTACATTCCAAGACCACCCATGAATATGGAAAAACTGTGAATTCTGGATGCAGTTAAAAAATGCCTATAAATGCCTATTTTTATAGTTTAAACTCTAAATATGCCCTCAAAACACTTAAAAAAAATGTAAAGATAAACCCATATACAGTACTGTACTGCTATGCCTCCCGCATTGCTAGAATGTAAAATACCGATGTTACCCCCATATGTACTGTAATTCATTCAAACCCATTTTCTTTGGTATACTGTAATTCATGCAACCCTGTTTTCTTTGGTATACGTACAGTAAATATACAGTAATAATTTAATTTAGTAAAATTATTATATTTTATATGGAAATTTTGCTGTATTTACATTAATATTTATGTTACAAAATTATTAAATTATATTTTTCTTAATATTTAGCATAAAAATGCATAAAAAATTATATATTGCCATGAAAAAAGCCAAAAAATTCCAAGAATTTGTGGGGATTTCTGCAAACAATTATCAGTTAGGTTCTAGGGAAATATCCGCAAATTAATGGAGGCACAAATTTGCGGGTGTCCACTGTATTTACATATATATATAAATTATATATATATATATATTATATATATATATATATATATATATTTTATATAATATATATATATATATATATATATATATATATATATATATTTATATATATATATATATATTTATATATATACACACAACACACACACACACACACCACATTCATACATACATATACACACACATTCACACATACATATACACACACATTCACACACACACACCACACACACACACACACACACACACACACACACACACACACACACACACACACACACACACACACACACACACACACACACACACACACACAGGATGTTCCAGAGACTGGACACAGTAACAAGGGGACACAGTTGGAAGTTGAAGACACAGATGAATCAAAGGGATGTTAGGAAGTATTTCTTCAGCCACAGAGTAGTCAGGAAGTGGAATAGTTTGGGAAGCGATGTAGTGGAGTCAGGATCCATACATAGCTTTAAGCAGAGGTACGATAAAGCTCATGGTTCAGGGAGTGACCTAGTGGCGACCAGTGAAGAGGCAGGGGCAGGAGCTTGGACTCGACCCCTGCAACCTCAACTAGGTGAGTACAACTAGGTGAGTACACACACACCAGGAGCTAGGACTCGACCCCTTCAACCACAAATAGGTGAGTACAAACAGACACTTGATCAAGCACGTCAAGAAATTAGAGAAAGTGCAAAGGTTTGCAACACGGTTAGTTCCAGAGCTAAGAGGAATGTCCTATGAAGAAAGGTTAAGGGAAATTGCCTGACGACACTGGAGGACAGGAGGGTTAGGGGAGACATGATAACATACAAAATACTGCATGGAATAGACAAGGTGGACAGAGACAGGATGTTCCAGAGATGGGACACAGAAACAAGGGGTCACAATTGGAAGTTGAAGACCCAGATGAGTCAAAAGGATGTTAGGAAGTATTTCTTCAGTCATAGAGTAGTCAGACAGTGGAATAGCCTAGCAAGTGAGATAATGGAGGCAGGAACCATACATAGCTTTAAGATGAGGTATGATAAAGCTCATGAAGCAGGGAAGGAGAGGACCTAGTAGCACTCAGTGAAGAGGTGGGGCCAGGAGCTGAGTCTCGACCCCTCCAACGACGATTAGGTGAGTACAAATAGGTGAGTACACAACACACACACACACACACACACACACACACACACACACACACACACACACACACACACACACACACACACACACACACACACACACACACACCACACACACACACACACACACACACACACACACACACACACACACACACACACACACACACACACACACACACACACACACACACACACACATGTCAGTATTTACTTTATATATTAAATATATATGCCCTAATTATTCTGTCTTACTGATTATTTCTCACTGTTAATTTCTTTGGGGAACTCTTATTGTTTGAGATATGTTAAGAGGTTATCAGTTCGGAGCTATGCGAGTAGCTTCAACAGATGAATAATTATATGGGCTCCTTCTCACTGAGAGAGCATTTCCTTCCCATCATGGATGAGAAACTCTCTCTCACTAATGAGAAAAATAGAGGAGAAAGTGCACAATGATAAGTAGAAAATGTCATAATGCTACATGTAATTTTTTCTCTTTCCTTCCCTTTCAAATTCATTCGCCTTGGGATGACTTGACCTCTTGTAAGTACATGTGACCCCTCAGGAGTCACAATTATCCATTAGATATCAATTTTTCACTTTGTTATGGATTGAAGTGCACTGTTTCTTGCCTACCCTTCCCTTCTCCTTCTCCTCAGTTTATTGTTTGCTTGGTTTGCCAACCTGAGCTGAAAGAGGCTCCCATGTGATGTCACAGACATAGGCCACAGCTCAAACCCTCTTCACTTTAATACTACTCAGAGAACTTAAATTTTTTGTGTTAAATGTGAAATTATACTTTGTTAAATTGTACTTTACTGATGACTGTTGCATATTGCCATAAGTAGATGTGTACTTACTGTATTTTTATAATAATATTCACAGAAAAGTACTAAACACTAAATGTTTACTTAATATAAGCATCTGGAAATGTTAAGGAAATATTTGTATGGATTTTGCACAATTTGATAATGTGAGCCATGTTGTGACTTCACATGGCATAGACTGCCAGCTGCGTGACAACCCGACACACCAGTGATGCCGGTATATAGTAAGACCAACCATTCCATTCTACCCATCATGCAACCATAATCACTCTATTATGGAATGCATTTATCATTAAAGTTTCAGCATTTTACAGTAAAGTTGATGTGAGTGAGGTGATTAATGCAGACTTTGGAAGGGAACCAAGAGACGTTCCGGCTGGGGCCCCTCAACATGTTGCCCAGCTCTGCTCTTGGTACCACACCTTGCATGGGAGGTGCCTTGATGCTGCTGAAGGGCTCTGGATTCGAGGAAATGGAGCTACTCTTCCCTTACTCGGATTAAACCTGATTGTCCCTCATTCCACAAGCACTGTATTATCCTTGCAGGTTTAACACTTCCCTATAAATATAATAATCATGATGAACTTGGTGCAGTGTCAGGGCAGAGGCATGCACCTGTTGCTACTCATGTCTCAAACACTTGAGTAGGCAGCAAGAGCTTTTGTGTTACCTGTATATTTCTCTCCAAGTCACAGCATTACTTGTTGAACTTGTGTAGATTTTGAGACTGAAAAGCCAGATTATTATGTTCATATGAAGTGTTAAAACCTGTTTGGTTCATACAGCTTCAGGAATGGTGGAGGGTAGATGCTCTGCCCATTAAGAGTGAGACACTTTAAAGAGCCAGGGAGGAAGGTAGTGTGTTATGAAATGTCTTAAACTTGGGTTTATGAAAAGTATCGACTAACAGTTACTGTGCAACACTATCAGCTACTGCCAGTGCTGTAGATGAAGGTGCCTAAGGTAGAGTGAGGATCTTGTAGCAGAGGGTGGTGTTATGATGTAGCCAGCCTTATTGCACCCCACACAAACACACATGTAGCAGTGGGTAGTATTATGACCTGGCCAGTCCCACTTGACCCCATGCACATACATGTAGCATTGGGTAGTGTTATGACCTGGCCAGTCCCACTTGACCCCACACACATATACCAGTTGTCTTCACCCTTCAGCCTCATGCATGATGCTGCCTTCCACCTAGCAAATACTTCGTAACTCTTAATTTCTAGATTATTATATAATTTATTTTTCACATTGAACATTAGGATAGTATGTGGTTAATCATTATAATCTTGTATGCAGAAAATTTGTATTGTTTGAATCCCATTGTTCACTGAACGACTTGAAGATTTAGTTTTAGTACTTCAGTTTGACTTCATTATTCACCCTACAGAGTGTAAACTATGGTGAAGCTAACCGTAGACTTTATCCTAAGTACAATAGCTCCAAACAGTCTTTCTCGAGTCTGGTTCATTTAGACTCAATGAAATAAGTATTGTGTATACAAGCCTGTATGGTTATTACATGATGTACTTTCCTCCCTGTGTGACCCTGTGATACCTGGGATGGTGATGGTGTGTAAGTAAGAGTTAACCCTCGTGCCTGCTTCCCGTACTGGCTTCTTTGGCTAGTCAATCCTCGTATATAGCTCCGTACATTGCTATTTTTTTATATTTTTTGACTTGCTCAAGTTAATGAATAAATGCCTTTTCTACAAGACTTTTGTATACTTTTTCGTACCCAGATGCAAGACAGGCAATATTTTTTGTAACCACTAGCTTTGGAAAACATTATTAGAATAATGTGGAGAAGCTTGAAGATCTTAGGTGAGATGAGAGTCGCCTGGTAATGTTAGTTCTGTATGTTAAGCTCATGGCTCTTGCTAACTCACACAACAAATTATATCAGCATTTTAACCCTACACTTTTATTAGTATTCTTCCTGGAAGTTTGTTCTTCTTCACTTTCTCCCTCTTATCTTTTCTTCCCTCTTACCCCCTGTTATTTATTACCCCTTCTTTCCTCTTAAACCCTATTCTTTGTCACTCCCTGTCCCATTGTATTCCTTCCTCTCTCATCTTCTCATCTCTCTCATCCTCCTCCTCTCCCTCATACCATCATACTAAGTTTCGAAATGATCATTCTTTAGGTTTCTGCACAGTCATGAGTTTCCCCACCATCATATTATAAGTTTCCCCACCATACCATGAGTTTCCCCACCATCATACTGTAAGTTTCCCCACCATCATACCGTGAGTTTCCCCACCATCATACCGTGAGTTTCTCCACCATCATACCATGAGTTTCTCCACCATCATACCATGAGTTTCCCCACCATCATACCATGATTTTCCCCACCATCATACTGTGAGGTTCCCCACCATATAAGTTTCCCTGCCATCATACCATGAGTTTCCCCACCATACCATGTGTTTCCCCACTATCATACCATGAGTTTCCCCACCATCATATATGTTTCCCCAGCATCATACCATGAGTTTCCCCATCAGCATCATGTGAGTTTCCCCACCATCATACCATGAGTTTTCCCACCATACCATGAGTTTCTCCATGTAAGTTTCCCCACCATTCTGAGTTTCCCCATCATCATACTGTGAGTTTCCCCACCATCATACCATGAGTTTCCCCACCATCATACTGTGAATTTTCATCACCATCATATTAAGAGTTTCCCCACCATCATTCTAAGAGTTTCCTCACCATTTTCAGTTTCACTACGTGTCTCATAAAAGTCACTCACTAGATGTTTGAACAACTGTAGTATATCACTCACAACCTGTTTGCAACATTTCACCAATGGCTCTCACACTTGGAGATGGATAAGTTAACCAGTGCAAACTGCAGGCAATATGTCAACACATGGTAAAGGACGGACTGGTAGCAGTGCTAGGATGTTTCATATATAAGTCAACTTTATCTTGTAGCACTTAAGAATACCCAGTCATGGGTGAAACACGATAAGTATTAGTGTCTTTTTCAATGATAGGTTAACTCACATCCAAAATTCAAATTTTTAAATATTTTATACAGTACAGATAGTATAGTTTACATGTAATAAGATATTAGTAGGCACAAAAGGAAGCCACTAGTATGCAGTGCATTTTGGGCAAACTAATCCTAATGCTTAAAGACTACTTGAGGACTTAGATATGTTATATTATTCCTGTTGTTTATACATATGCACCTTGGTAGTTGTACCATTGTCTTAGTGGTATAAACACCCAGAGGCACATATCTTAGTGTATATATACTCTGAAATATGTATATTTCAGTGAACATACACTTAGAACTTACTTTAATTCTTACTTTAGGGATTTAAAGTGTTTTAGACATAAGTGTTGAATTTGATGCTCTTGCAGTAATGCATTTGACTCTTGAAAAACTAAACTGTTCATGGTCAATCCCCTCTCTAAGCAGACTATGAATTGAATTAGAAACTAATAGTTTTAATTGTAGTGATTTTGTTGATTATTTTTAAAGTTAGTAAGGTTACAACTGTTACAAAAGAATACATATCCTATATGTATATGTTTGTATACACATATACACACACAAATTAGTCTCATTTAACAGGGTAATTACATTCCTGAAACAGCAGGTAAATAAAAATTTAGTGTAAAATGAACTGAGGAACATATAGAAAAATTAGGGTTTTATCCTTGACCCCCAAAAATGCCAATTATATTTTTAGTTTATGTCTCTTAATTCTAAAAAAAAAAAATAATAATGTAATTGTAGTTGGATGTAGTGAGCTGTACATAATTTAAATACAGTGCTTATAGCTAAAAAATTATAAATTAATTTTTCTCCCCTTATAATCTGGTTGCTGGCATGTAGATAATCTTGAGAGGCCTGGAAAGGGATGGTGTGGCCCTACTGGGCCAAAATGGATAGGTGGTTGTGAATCATAGGCTGAGGTTCTAGGGCTGATATCAGTGAAGGGTTCTTGTAGATTATAGTTGTACTGGAGTGTTCAGGTATTTTGCATGAGCTGCTTCAGACTCTGCTTCAGAGAAGCAATAGGTTAACTCATATCCAAAATTCAGTTTTTTTTTAATATTTTATGCAGTACAGATAATGTAGTTTACATGTAATAAGATATTATTAGTCACAAAAGGAAGCCACTCAAAACCAAAATAAAAACTTACTTTTTAAATAAACTTTCTTAACCCTTTCAGGGTCCAAGGCCAAAATCGGAAGGGGTGCCCCAGTGTCCAAGAAATTTTGAAAAAAAAAAAAAAATATTTTTTCTTACATAATTAAAGATAATATTTTTGTGAAGGTAATAAAAAAAAAAATTCTGATCGGCACTTACCGAGATACAGCGGCGGGAAGTTGACCCAAAATGACCAGGTGGCGGCAATATCAGCGACTTCCGTAAAATCGCATTTTTTTATTTTACGTTTTTTATACTTTTTTCTTTTCTTTTCTAATATTTTTCTTTTTTTAATAACATTTGTGGCCTGTGAGACCAATATAATATATATTGTATAAGTGTACACTCATTGTATTCAACACAATAATTGCACTAATTTGTTTATCATTATATTGCTTACAAAACTTGTTTACAAGTTTATTGTAAACAAAATGATGAAAATATTAGTGCGGTTATTGTGTTGAATACAATGGTACCATATAGTACCATATGGCACAATGGTGCCATAGGGTGCAATGGTACCATATAGTACAATTGTACATATGGTACAATGGTACCATATGGTACAATATGTTACAATGGCATATGATACAATAGTACCATATGGTAGAATATGGTACAATGGCACCATTTGGTACAATGGTACCATATGATACAATGGTACCATATGGTGCAGTGGTACCTTATGGTACCATATGGTACAATATGGTGCAATGGTACCATATGGTACATTATACCATACAGTACAATGATACCATATGGTTCATTGTACCATATGGTACTATATGGTACTGTTGTATCCAACACAATAGACACACTAATATTTTCATCATTATTTTGTTTACAGTAGTTGTTTACAACAAAAATAATGCAAAAATGTTGTATATTAGTAATGTTCTATTATATATTTACAAATGTACAGGAACTCGACATGTTCCTTGAGGTGGATAACAAAGCACTTTCTCTCCGAAACTGCGGAGTCAGTAGCTAGTTTGCGTCGTCACTCAGTCTTGGCTGGTGTCTCATGCCACCAACACCTATTGACCATATGGTACATGGTATCATATGTTACAGGGTACCATATGGTACATTGTACTATATGGTATAGGGTACCATATGGTGCAGGGTACCATATGGTGCAGGGTACCATATGGTACAGGGTACCATATGATACAGGGTACCATATGGTACAGGGTACCATATGGTACAGGGTACCATATGGAACAGGGTACCATATGGAACAGGGTACCATATGGCACAGGGTACCATATGGTACAGGGTACCATACAGTACAGGACACCATATGGTACAGATACAGGGATCCCTATGGAAATAAGTCACCCTGACTTTTTTGGGTTATCCGAGGATTTTATACGTATGCTGCTATGTATGATAATCTATGTAATTGTATTTCTCTGCACCTGAATAAACTTACTCAAGCTCATGTGGCATCATAAGTAAGTTTATATAGGTATACACAAATAAAGTTACATAGAATATCATACTTAGCAGCGTATTTGGAGGCCTGGTCACGGACCGGGCCACGGGGGCGTTGACCCCCGGAACTCTCTCCAGGTAAACTCCAGGTAATATGTTTGGAGAACCTAGGATAACCCAAAAAAGTCAGACAGACTTATTTCCATTAGGGTCCCTGTACCCTGTACCATATGGTATAATGTACCATATGGTACAATGTGCTATATGGTACATTGTACCATATAGTACCAGTGTACCATATGATACCATTGTACCATATGATACCATTGTATGACATGGCACCATTGTACCATATGGTACCATATGGCACAATGGTACCATATGGTTCAAAACCATAGAATTCCTCTTCAGCTCCACTTCCATCAGTCTTAGAACTGTAAGTTGTGAAGAGGAAAGTCAGGATTCACCCAGAGAGTGAGTGGGGAGTGAGAGCTTCCCTGCCGCCAGGCATGATGAACAAAGCTACTTTTCCGGCATTTCCACAATGCCATGCGGGTGTCCAGATTTTTTCTATAGTGTACACACTGACCACCCTACCCATTCTCTCAGATGTAGGCCTACCAGCCTTCTCGCGCTAAATTTGACGCCGCTAGAATTTTGGTGTAGATCTATGGTTTGGACCCTGAACGTAAAGCCGTAGATCTACGGGATGGACCCTGAAAGGGTTAAGTAAGGCCCAGGAGGAAAGATAATGTTCGGCACAGTATACTGTCTATTCCTTCCAAAGAAAATGGACACAGTACTCCTTCAGAGAAAACATGCAAGACATTTAGGTACATTAAACAGTTTTAGATAATTACAGTTGCCTTAGTATAAACTGGTTTGTTAGCTCTTTGACATGATCAAGCAACCCACTTCCTCTTCTTTATTGCTGTGTAATGCTCCTATTACTCAGAAGAGAGATAACCCTTGTAGATTTAGCACTTCTTTTTGATAATAATAATAATAATAATAATACTCAGAAGAGAACTCAAGTCTATGAAGAAGCTGTTGCATGTTTTTCCCATGGTCCATCTGTATACTACCTCTGGTGTTAATTAGAGACCCTCGTCCTAAGATATGGGAATAAACATACATAAGGGAAATATCTACAGATTTCTCCTTGGCTCTATATGAGTACAGTGAATATTGATAATTTACATGGGTTACGATCCTGAAAACTGTGCTACCAATGGTTTTTACAGCTTATAGAGTCAAAACATATGGAAAAAATAATGTTGCAGTTATCAGGCCTCCATTTCTAACTCCCAAGGGAAATAATTTGTTGACTCAGTTTATTTCTTTCATAAAATTATTGATATAGAATAACAAGAAGTTGATGAGTTAGACTTGTGTGCAATGCCTGGATATCTTTATTTTGAAGAGGGTTTACCAACCAGTGGCTTTTTCAGTTCATTAGAGCTTTTAAATTCTAGCAACATACTCTTTCCACAGAAAGTAGGAAGCGTGAGCATGTATGTCCGTCAAAACTACCAGCACTTGTATATTATCATACAGCAGTTTCATTGCACACATTCTTGTTTGATACAGTAATTTCATTGCACATGTTCTTTGTTGCTACAGAAGTGTAGATATAGTTAATGTGGCCCAGATGGCCACTTGTGGCCTCTATCTTCACTACATAAACTACACAATTTTATCTCTCAGTAAATTTTCACACTATTATCCATCAGCAACATATTCAGCAATTATATAAATGCAACTAGGTATGTATATGACTGTTTAAGGCTCAAGAATGTGTAATTAGTGTTAATATATGTTACACTAGCTGGATGAGTAACCTACCAGCCATTAGAACCATTGCTTCCCACCTCTAGTCTAACTACAGTTTTCTTAAAAACTAAAAGAGTTTTGTACCTAATTACCTTCTTGGCACCTCCAGCATCATTTTTTTGTGGGTATCATGATTATATCCAGAGACAAAGTAAAATTATGATATAAATGAAAATAAAGATAACCACAGAGAGACTGTCATATGGTATGTACCCAGATAGACTGATGACACATTTGTTTAACACCAGCAGTGATGCTAAGCCTCCCCTCAAACCAAAACAGTGGCCTTGCCCAAGGAGCAGAGGGATGCTCGATAATGGTAATGCACTTCACTAATTTCACCTGGTGCACCTTAATGGTGGTGATTTGCTACCATTGGAATTTAACATAAATTTAAATTGCAGAATACAGTGGAACCTCAGCTTATGAACACCCCACCATATGAATTTTTCAGGATATGAACCGTCATTCAGTCGATTTTTTGCTTCTGGATATGAAGGAAATTTCAGGATGCGAACTTCCTCCTCAAGGAAGGTTCCTTAAATAAGTTAATAAATAAAATATTTATTTCTTTGCAAAGGTTACAGTATGTGTTTTCATATCATAATATGATTGGAGCAAAGAAAGCCACTATCATGCTGAGGCATTTCGGGCAGACTTAACACGATACTAATAGATTACTTAAGTCTAGACAGGTGAAAAGTGTACTAGTAGTAGTTACCAATGTTTTGCTGATGGTGGCACCAACCACTGGCAGCCTTTTGAAGTTTCTCCTTACTGTTATTATTATTACTATTATATATATATTGTATTATTATTGTTATAATAATAATAATTATTATTATTAGTAGTAGTAGCAGTAGTAGTAGTACATACATGGTGAGGGGGCTCTTGATCTAGGGAATTGGATCTGTGCTCCAGGTCCCTAAATTAATAATAATAATAATAATAATAATAATAATTATTATTATTACTATAATAATACGTAAGTACTAATAATGATGATGATAAATAATAATATATAATAATATGTAATACTGTAGTACAATAATAATAATTATAATAATACTATGTACGTACTGCATATAATTTATTTTGACTACACCACCATAATGGTCAGCAGTGCACATGTGCTTACGGAGCTACACTTGCAGTGCAAGAAATTCTCGTGATTTCCTTACGTTTTGTGCAGTTAATTTGCAAGATTTATTTCTTCTAACCATGGGTCCTAAGGAAACAAGTGCAGAGGACAGTGCCAAGAAGAAAAAGTGGATGATTTTCATGGAATTAAAGCAAGAAATGATTAATAAGCACAGACTAGGTACGAGGGTTGAGGACTTGGTGAGTTGAGTACAAGCGTACCCCTCTACTATATGTACCTATGGGTTTAGCGCTTCCCCGTGATTATAATAATAATATTATTAATAATAATAATATATGCCATACTAAAGCAGAAGGAGTCTATAAAGGCTGTAGCACCAGCAAAGGGTGTTACAGTAATTGTTGACATAGTTGACAGAGAAACAGCTCACAGGAGATTCGTAGTGTAGCGAGATAAACATAAAAATTGTACATAGCAATCCTTAAGAAAAGTGTGAACTCCTGACAGGATATGCCGCTCTGCATTTCTTCTCCAAGATATATAAATGTCATATGTACACCAGATCTAATTCAGTTAGCCTCACAAACTCCATTTTCTCTTGTAACACCTCTGACGTTTTCATAGCTAGAATGTTTGACCACAATCCTCCTCTCTCTGCTGTCCACATAATGACATATTTTATTCATTCTGGGGTGTATATCAGGTTTCTATCTTATTTATATTGTTTATTATGTCATATTAGATTAATTGTGACAGATAAATAAGCTGTAGAGTTGATATTAGGGTTATTTTGTCATGCCTCCTAAGAGCAGGAATTC